CGATATTCTTCGCGCGACCCGTTTTTCTATATAATCCCCGGCGATTCTCCAGCGGCAGTTTTATCGATTCTTACTACTATACCCCCCCTCTCCCCGACACATATCGGTGATGGGAACGATGTCGCAGAAATATTCGCGCGCTTTTTCATCTCGAAGCTTGCCATCATCCGCAACACGTTCTGCACACGCGTTCTCTCCTTCTCGAAGACGTCCAGGGTCTCGCGCGATCGCTGAATATCTGTCCCTTTCCCCCTCGAGATTCGGAGCGTGTGCCCCCTCCCCCCCCCATATCTCCCCGTCGGAAACGAACTTTTCTCTAAAACGAAAATATTTTCGTAACGCTTTATTAGCCTCTGCCCCCCTCCTGATTCTCGCGCGTACGCACCCTACCCCAACGGGGGTGCAACCTATCGAAACACTTGATCGGCCGACCAAGAGCGAATTCTCGAGGCTCCCTCCGCGAAACTTCAATGCTTCTAGGCTGTGACTCGTAACCGAGAAATCTATCGTGCGCGAATCTATTATCGAAAACAAATGACAATCCTTCTTCGAGCGAAAGTCGAAAACGAGAGAGGGAAGGGTGCGCGAAAAGGGGAGAAAGGAAAAAAAGGAGGATGAAAGGGAAGACACGCGCGTCAAGAGAATGGCGAACGTAATTCGGATTGGCGCTTCCTTCTCGTCCCGTTCGCGGTATTTTAACGCAATATTAACGATATTTGTAAACGATTTCTATCCGTTTCGCTCGCACGGCGGGCGCACATTTAAAGCAAGCAAAACTAAAAAAAAATAAACAAATAAATAAAAATATAAAAAGAAACGTTTATCAGGGTCTCGGGATAGATGCGTAGGACGCGAGGAAGCCGAGACTGGGGGAAGAAAACCCCTCCCCGCTGGACCTTTTCTTTCTTTACACCGCGCGTTTCAGCACTGTACCGCAAGGTCGTGACCGACCGTACGAGGGACGGCGTAATGATATTAAATAATAATACGCGAATGATATATCTTTAAATGGGCTGTGGTAGAAACAAAACAAAAAAAAAAGAAAACCTTTATATATACTTTACATAATATATATCGGGATCGGGATCCTCTCGTTTTACTCACGTACGTAAAAGGGGAAAACGGCATCTGATTCAAAAGGCGCATCTGTCTTTCGAGCGTGTGAAAGTCACTGTCCTACCGTTTTGTCACACAACGATTACCTTGCACAAAGCGTACCTAATTATATATACATATATATATACATGTATATGTATGTATGCATATGTGTATAATTATATGTGCAATATTATGTAATATGTATATGTTAATATATTATACCCGCTATATATAATTATATATAATATTAGATATAATTATATACATATTATGTAATACATGTATTATACATGTGTGTATACATATGCATAATTGATAGTAGGATCCGCCGTAATGATTGTCAATAATATATCGTACCTATCGTATTCGTCTCGATACGCGAGCAGATTATATATAAATATATTGAGCTATAGGCTGTAAATCCGAGAAACGAGATCTCGCCGTTCGGATCGGAGCGGATCCGTTCTCCGAGCGTGTGTGTACAACGTGACGCTGTCGCTTCGAGAGTCTCGGGGGGAAGATCTTGAACGAATTGAGATGAGTTTCTGTCACCCCTTCCCCTCCTCCCGCGCGTGATCTTCCTTTCGATTCGCCTTACATTTAACGCCCGTCCAAATCGGATTTGCCTGGTCATGATGGAAAAATGATTGTCGCCTTACGGGGGCGCCAATTTATGTAATAAATTTATATAATTTAGCCAATTTATATAATAATAATAGGAGGGGTTCTTTATTTAATGCAGATAACCGCGGGGTGGAGAAGGCGACAGGCCTCTGAAATCGCGTGAAATCTAATGTCTCGTTGTGTTAAAAATTACGTTCAAATTGGATTTAAACGTCAATTCTAAGCAGATTTGAATGCTTATAACTTTATATCTTTACAGACAGCCTCTTGCTAGCCGCAAGATTTACGAGAAACCGTAGATATTTACGAATGATCGTCTTATAGAGTTACAATTCAGAAATTGCCCTTAGAATTGATCCACATTTGATTAATTGTTTGTCGATTTCCGCGTCCCCGTGGCCGAGCAAATCCCATCTTGGCCGACGCGCGGCACCCCCACTGATCTTCCGCGAGCGACGTCGAAGCGGCACGACACGGCAGGGCACGCGCGTAGACGTTTGTATCAATCGCGTAGAGCGTAGTTCGCTAGCTAAAAGAAGAAAAAGAAAAAATGAAAGAAAGAAAACGAAAAAAAAAAACGAAGGGGAAAACGGTGTTTTTAGACTCTTGCTCAAACGGTCGTTTCGTTCTCATTTCCGGGCCGGGGACGGAGAAGAAACGTGGACCATTCTGTGCGCTCGATCGCGACGCGCACATATACGCGTGTACGCGCGAGGAGGTAGTCGCGAGAACGCGCGTCCCCCTTTTTAATTCAGAGATTAACTTAATCCTGCGGAGAGCAATTGAACAACTGATAGAGATATATATGTCTAAAGCAAAAATTTGCAATATGGAAATTCCTTTCTCGCTTCCCTTTTTTACACTGATACTCGGAAGAGGTCGATCGATGCGTCCGTAGGGACGCGCCTCCGCAGGATTAAAATTCGCCGCGCGCATCTCCGGCGCGTTCTGTCGCCGGAAGTTCCTCCTTCGTTCGTCCCCCATCATCTTCGGCGGCGTTTCCTCCAGGAGATCACCGAACACACGGGGACACTCCTGCACGCGGTGCGATAAACGACGAGACAAGGGGAAGTTTCGGCGTTTCGATTTTTTTTTCTCCCTTACGAGCCCTCGAATACCGGTGCGAAATTCTTGTAACGTTTAATATATATTTAATGTCAATCGCGCGATGGTAATTGTCGATCTAATTGTTGCAAGGTGTCGCGGATTTACGATGCATGCGTGTACGTATGTGTATGTGCATGTTTCGTGCGTGTATATGTGTGAATACGTGTGAAGAAGTATTTTATTTGTGCTCCCACGATGTTGATATTCGATGTATTGTCGCGGTAATATCGTGTGTAGAATGTGACATTTTCGTGTACGGTGCCCCGCGCCGGTGTTTCCCGGGGTGCGACCGCGACAAAACCCCCGTCCTTAACTTGATCGGCGATCGACGCGCGACCGGCGATTAATCGCTTATGGCGAATCTTCCACCGATGTAGACTAATTTTAATCTCGGTTCAACTTACTTTCCATCTTTTTCTAGTTTTAAAAATTGGAGAAAGATAAAAAGTAAGCGTTGTAATCGAGATTAATATTAATCTGCATTGGTGGAAATGAACATAACTCTGCGCGATTTGTCGAGTTCCTCGATCTTCCCTTCCCACGTGTCAAACACAACGAGAGACCAACGAGAGACTTCCCTCCGCGCTAGGAAAGCGGTGTTGCTCGACAAGTTAATCGATCGCCGATCGAGTTAATCGGATTTCCATCGAGGATCACCCCGAAGGGTGAAACCAAGCGAAGCTAAATGAAACGAACTTCGAATTCGAAGGGATGGCTATATAAGCGCGATTTGTGCGAGGCGCGAAGTTGAGCGTACAAAAACCACGTTCTTTGTTTTTTGTTAAGATCATAGTCGTAAGTATGTAAACCTGAGCTTAATGTACTCTCTCTCTCTCTCTCTCTCTTTATCTCTCGTAATGGAACTGTTTGTACTTTACTAGTTTATTAAACGCCCGTTTAGACTTACATTGTAGAAGAGAGTTGAGAGAAAAGGCATGTTTAAATGCGCGTCCCTCTTCGGAGTCAAAGTTTTCACTTTCCGTTTTTTTTTCCCCTCGCTCTAGCATCTACGGATATCATCTATATATGAATATAAATATATAAAAATATGTATTACGCGTACGTGAATGTCAAGTAGGAGACGCGTATCCACGTGCTTTCGCTTTGAGAGACAATTTAGTAATTTCCCGATAGTCCCGTTTTTAAGGCGTTTGCGAAGCGTGATGCTGTTCGAGCAAAATCTAGAAATCGGCAAAGATGGTCATTCTCTTTCCTCGTTTTCCTTTTTTTTTTTTTAATTTAATTCCCCTTCTTGCGTTCGAACACTCTACGACGATTAGTAAATGTGTTTTACTCAAAGTGTCCTTCCTACGTAAATTTACTTGTTCGTTCTTATAAGCTAAATAAATGGTATCTCTTTCATGTTCACGTACACGTATATTTATTGTACCCAAAAACCCTCCTCGCGCGTGTCGATCTTTTTCCCGGATAGCAACGTTTCTATTTGTGTTGGAATTAGTTATTTTTTTATATTCAGTGTGTAACAAATATATCGAGTATTTTTTTACGCATATAGCATTACGCTATTATTAACTTAGCAAAGGAAATAAAGTTTTTTGTTAAATGTTAACATTAACATTGTGATCTTTTTTTTTTTTTAAAAGATGAAATTACAACGCTTGAATTTTTATTTGTATATTTCCTTTGCATTCCCTTTTATACTTATCGATAGTATCAGATTTAAAATTCATATAGAGTCTGATTTTTTGTGTCAATCTTGAACATAAAAGAACCGTTACAATTTACAGCAAAAGGCTGAAGACTTACCACACTCATTGCAGTTCGGGAAAACTAAACAAGGATAAATGATGTAGACGAGGCGGACGAGAAGACTCCTCGCTCTTTCCCATTTCTTTCAGATACATTTTTTATTTGTTGCGCGCCTCCATCTGCAAGGAGGCGAACGAGGAGGCCGCCGCCTCGTGACTCTCGCTCCCGTTTTCCTTACTCACCAAAGAGGTACGTATTATTAAAGATAGCTGAAGACTTTAATTCAAGCATGTGCAGCAAGCCCTGCAAAACGCCAGGGATGGAGCTCTGTAGACGAGTTCTTAAGTTTTAAATTACTCTTATTTTTTTAAAGAGAGTATGTTTTCTCCTTTAAATCAATTGTATCCTCATTATTCTGTATCTGAAAGTAGTTAAGATAAAAAAAATTAAGGAATCAACAGTTTACAAGATATTTCATATTTTATTCGGACATACACTGGTTCACATAAAATCTTTACGATCACACGTCACATTGCAAAAAGAAGCCGGTATACTGACTTTCTCGACAACTACCTTTGTGTTATAAAATAAAATAAAAACAAAAATATATGTATATCTCGTGATTTGTTAAAAATTTATATAAAATGTACAATTGCCGTGTATGTAAAGAAATACTTGGGGCTGGCAGTAGAGAGAGTGAGGATTATAATTACTGAAAAGGCTATAGCGAAATCATTATATGCGTACGTGCACTGTAGACGTTGGCATGTACGTAAACGTCTATACAGTTCGCTAAGGGAGTACTTTCTTGATGTTGTACATCACAAATCATTTAGATGTAATAAGTCATTTCCAGATATGTATAGATGAGTTTTCATTGTACCAGGTTTTGTCCCAACTGACAGTTAAAAAGATCGCTTTTACACCGAAGGGAGTCTTTGAAATTATGCCTATATCAATAAAACGATTCTATTATATCGATCTATATCTACGGATTACGATAAAAAAACACATATAAAAGGCGGATGTCCATAATTATATTATTGTTATATCCGATGTTTTTTTTTTTCATTACTTTAATACAAGCCTATCATGATATACAGACAGAAGCGTCACATGTTTTTTCCAATAGTCCTTCAGGCTAACTCGAAAGCGATTTAATAAAATTATTGAGAGGTAGTAACACACAATTGCCCGTTATTTCTTTCCCATTTTTAATATCTTCATGCAACTAAATTAAAAAAAAAAATTCGATCGAAGATAGCCTGTTTAAATTTTTAATTAAAAAAAATATCAGTTTATCATTTATTTTCTCTCGTGAAACTTAATTCGCTACAAATCTTTTATCTTCAATGGTTAAAATATTTTCGTCGAGAGTGAAATAACAGCGAATCAATCAAAAAATCTATAATTAAAAGAATGTAATCCTGGGACTCTGTATATCACGATAGAGGAGTTGCGTTGCAAAGACGCCCATCTAACAGGCATTAGAACACTTACTGACGTTTAATGTACACATTGTACGTGACACGTTGCCGGCGATGGAATTGTAAAACAACGGATTCTCACACGTGCTTTTAATTATCGAGCAACAACCGACCAATTATAGCTGCCTGCGATATATTAGATATGTAAGTTCGCGGCACAGCGAACGTGCCCTTCTCCGCGCTAAATTGGCCCTGCGGCAGTTACATCGTCCGCAAAGTCGAGTTCGAGGGTGCTGCTGGGCGGCATCGTGGGTGCCTCGTAGTGTAAAATTCGGCACGAGACGCACTTAGGGCATATGCGAGGGACAACGTCGCCGTTAAATAATGCCTCCGCCTTTGACGATTGCACGCGGTGCAATCCGTAGAGCACGTAGCAGTCGATCTGCCGAGCACCGTCCGCCACTAACTTTGCTAATGTTAATACAAGAATTAAGTAAACATCGCGTTCCTTTACACATAGAGTTTTTTTCCTCGAAACTGTCGCGACTAACGTCACACGTTAATTTCGGCACTGCTTCGGAAATGCTTATCTTGAGGGAGACGCCGTTCCTGCTCGCGCCTTACGAGACAGATTCGCGCTACTCTCCATCCTCGTCAAATCTTATTATGCTACAACGTGGCCAAGAGACTGGCAGATTATACTGCACTTAACGCTACACGCTTAAGCGGATTATAACTTAAATTACATATACATATACCATATAATAACATTAACTATGGCAGTCTGTCGAAATACGCGTATTTATATAGCTAACAGGCGTCCGAGTTAAAGGCCAAAGCGTCCAGCGAACTGTGGGCACTCTAACGTTCACATCTAATGACGCGAGTGTCGCGATCGTTAGGGAAAGGGCGTTTTATTGTACTGACCAATCTTGTTGGTTGGTTGGTAATGTAAAAAAAAAAAAGGAAAACTAATCGTCACCGCGTTCACGCGTCGACGTCGTCCCTAAGTTGGCGCGGTGCGATGAAAACTCCTTAGGCTTTACTACTACTTCATAGTATAAATATTATTGGCTTTTGTACAAATTTTCGTGGATCTGCTTCAGTAATACGATATTGCGCGTGACGTAGCTAGAAAATGGATTTTGCTCTCTTGATCTCGATTTTGATTTGCTCTTCTTTCGTTCGAGTTTCGCGAATAAATGCGGAACGTCCTTGAATATAAGTTTCGCAAACTTCATTTCGATCAACTTGAAGCCGAATCCTCCTTAACGAAAGGATCAATACTTTATTTTTCTCGTAAAAGAGAAGGAATGGACCTCAGTAAATATCTTCGAATGTGCATTCATTTGTCAAAAAATATGTTTGCCAAGCAACAAGAAATGAGTCGCAAGGCAATTCTACATTAAGGAAGAAATAGCATCAATGTTCTAAGTAGAGACAGTTTGCAAAACTATTCCCCGTGACGTCCTACATGACGCTTTTTTTCTTTTTAGAAGCGAGAACGAAAGTATATCGGGTATAGATATCATTAATAAATGCAGTGCATCCATTTTCGAACTACTTTACACAGCGTACGCGCTGTGAACCTTACTAGTAGAGATTTATTCATTTTACACACGCCTACGTTTTCTATTAATGTTATTGCGATACCTTCGAGATAAAACGGACGATACTTTCCTATATTCGCGCGCGATGCGAAGTAAGAAGGAAAAATAATATCCTACAGCTTGTTTAATCAATCATTTTACGAGAGTTTGTTTCTACGTCTCGTCGCAAGCGGAGAAACGCCGTAACGAAACGTCCAACTTGCGCGAAAGCCGTCAACTCTGAATATACATTCCTATCTGGAAGCTACAGATTGTCGTTAATTGTTCTAGTACCAAGATGTTAAGCAAGGTACTCATCTCAATTAGACTTACATAAACTCTACATCGATATTTTATCATTAAAAATTAAAAATAAGACATCGAATTCCCCCCCTTAACGTCTCTTCCCCTTTTAAAATCGATGGGACAGATGTAGAAAAACGGCAGTGCAACACGATAAGAGCAAACTGTAGGATCGTAAGATCATCGAAAGAGAGCATTAATATTAATCGTGAGGTGTTCGTAGAATACAATGCCATATTGTCGATTACTTTAGGTTTGTATATGAAATGCATACGACGATTACTATTTCGATATCGATCGATTACGCCTGCTGGAAATTCGATGGCGAGGAAACGCCTCGCAATTACAAAAAAATATTCACTTTAGAATAATGATCGCTTACCTTTCATTCTTTTTTCTAGTTGCGAACTTTCTAGGTTTTTGCATAGAGACACACACTTTCTACTACACACGTAATCGTAGCTCATAATCTGTAATAATCGCACATGCGTGACGGCAGTGATAGATTGTACATCGTGTCATGTGCATTCCGCTATATCGGTCGCCGGGGTCCACGAGTTTCGGTATCGCTCGATCTCCAATATACGTATATTGGGGAAAAATATATATATGTATATAGACTTCTTTCCGGGAGCTACTAGAAACTAATCGAATTTAAAGCAAATCGGTGGTTATGACACCGCGATTCGCAGTCGCGGGATCATAGGACAGATATAGATGTAAGTACCAAAGATTGATGGCTGTGACTAGGGAGGTAATACGTCCAGCTTTAGGCCCGTCCTCGGCTTGCAGAAGCCGCAATAACCGCCGCATTTACCGACGATTCGTTGATTATTCTAAGTAACATTCAAGAATATGCCTGTGTTAGAATATATTCTCAAAAGTTAACAATTAAAAATTAAAAGCGCGCAGAAAGAAAACCTTTTTGTATTTTTAATTTGTCTTTCCTATCCAGTCGAAATAAAATTATTAGAATCTATTGGTCTGTAGAAATTATTAGTCTTCTAAGAAGAAGATCGGAGAGCTTTCTTCCGAATGAAAAGATACATTGAAGCCAAATGATTGCGTTTATCAGCGAACTTTTCAGAATTTTTTGGTATTAATTTCGTATTCGATTCTATAAACGTGTACGTGAGATATGAAATAGTAGAAGAAGAAATATATAAAACAAAGAGAAAATGTGTTAAATTTGCAGTGACTCTTAAATAGATCGTTGATTTCCCTTTCAATTAACTGATTACTTACAATTCTATTGATTGCGAGAGAAGCGCTCGAGGTTTCCTTCACCCAGGTAATTTCTGGCGATAATCCCAAGGCGGTTCCTCTCAGATTGATGCTGAAACGTCCTTGTGGACACTCGATGAGGCTGTAGCAATCGCCGGCTTTGCCATACTCCACGCGCTGCATCCCTTTCGTCCACGAAAACGTGTAATCGTTCGCTAAACATAAAACATCTCCAATGCATCTCCAGTGCACAGAATTGCGTATAATGTATGTAAAAAATATATATAATAATAAAATGTACAATGTATAATAATTAAAAAACATATCGTAAACGTATATTCCCCCCCCCCCCGCAAAACACGACTGCCGCTGTGAGCGTAATTGTTAAGCTATGATTAAAAATAAAAAAGTTACACATAAACCTAAAGTTACACATAAATCGAACGTTGTGCTCACCTATAATGTAGAGCTTCGCCGGATCTATGCGCACCCTCTTGAACATCGTTCTGCCGGACACCGTTCCCAATTCGGACACGCAGTTGCAACTGTCATTTCTCTGACCATTGAACGGACACGTGTTTGGGTTCCTTAATCTGAACACACCGAAATCAAATTCATTACAGGACGTCACACGAAATTGTTGAACTTTTGGGAGAGTAATGCTCTAATTAGCACCGAGAACGGAGCAATAATTTGCCAACCTCTTGTCGTAGATTTCCGCGTAGTTCTCGCTGTCGCCGGCCGGCAAAGTCAGGTACTCCCGCGGCTCGGCGCTCGACATTCCGTGACAATAAACAGTCATGTTTCTACCGCCAATTAACAACGGATATTCGCCGTCCGCGGTGGCTTTGAGTCGTTTCTGGATTTCGAGACAGCTGACCGGGCCGCATCTCCTTTGATTGCACTTACGTTTACGCTGCGGTTTGTATTCAGCTGGACAGTGGAACCGCGCTACTTTCTTGCCATCGAATGCGTCGTGGCAATAAAGTCTGCGGATCTGCCGACCTTTGCGTCCGCAAGGATGGCTACACTGTAGAAATAAACGAGAAAAATATTAGATAACAGAGGAAGAGTTACAGGAGAAAAATTAATGATGAGAAAATGGAGAGAACAGAAAGAGGATAGAGAAAGCTTAACGCTTTTTGCTATGAATAACCATGTTATTTACGATATCCAAAAATCAGTTAATCAATTAATTTATTAAAAATTAAAATATAATTGATTATAAACTATATAAAATTTTTTCTTTCTCTTAAGAGATATTAAATTTTACACACACAAAATTAAGCGAGTTATTTTCTTTTTTTCACTAAAGTTAATAAATTTTAAGATAAAACGTAGAAGCTATTTAAAGTCCTTTCTTAGCTATCGCTGTAATATACACTAATCTATATACGATGTTATGACTTCAATTTCAAAGAGCGCACTCACTTTTCTCCAAGTGCCAGCAGTCCAATAATATTTATCGCTGCACTCGCGCAGTTTACAAATCTGTTCGCCGACCGGCTTTTGATCCATCGGGCAACCGTCCGTTTGAGTTGGGTCGATCCATCCGTAACGATTTACTCGATGGCAAGTGACTGCACGATGTTGTATTCCCTCGCCGCATTCCGCCGAACACTTGGGGGGGAAAAATAAACACATCTATAAATCTTTTATTTCCGTTAAGTGAATCTTTGTCAAGAGAAATAAGAAAACGCAAGCGCGCTGGGTTTGTTACAATACTTCTGTCGACAATCGTGTCTTGATGAAAGGAGTAATGAAAATGAAAATCGTAATGAAAGAATGCATCGGTAAATCGCGAATTGAAAACAATTGCATATTTATTCGCAACTAAGATTACGTAACTAGATTACGAGTATAGTCCACTCGATTCAAATGGAATAGAATATGTAATTTTCGCTTAGCTGAGCTTCTGCTAATCTACCGACGGTTCGCTCGACGGAACAATAGGATACATTCTCTCATTGTAATACGAAATTATGCAATCAATTTAAATACATGCCCATGCGTAATCTGGAACAAAAGTGTATTTATATCTATGATGTATTCCAGGCCATTATCATTTCATTAAGACCATAAACCGACCGGCGGTTGTATGATTGCACTGTACAGTACGGCGACTGTATAATACGCGGCGGTTTTCACCTTCCCAGAATATTTTACTGATATTAGTGTTGTGCACGAATATTACAGATGCAGTAGTATATTCCCTAAAATATGTCCGCTAGGCGGAGTGCAAGTTATACACGTTAGTGATCAAATGTCGTAATTTCACGCTCATTAAGTGGGGAAACACTCTCCGTATACGTATTTCTCGATAAATGTAATGTGGGATTAATAACATGCATGAGAGAGGTCTCCATCGTTTTGAAGGAGAATGTTAAATTGAAAACTTCTCTCGGATCTGATCCTGATGAGTTATCAAGGTATACCATGCATCTTCCATAGTTCACCACAGTGTTTCTGGAACCCGTTTTCCATGTGCGATTCAATTAGGATTAGTTGTTTATGCCAATAGTCGTAAATGCCAGTAATCAGTTATTTCCCCCTTGTGCCGTATGTACCACCAACATTCGCGTGCGTGTAAAGACCCGACTTGTGACTTTCGTGCTCATTTTACTCAAGGCTGAGTGAAATCTTCGTGAGAGATTGGACATAGCAGCGTATATTATACGATTGCGGGATCGCTGGCGTAAGGTTTTGAGGATACCTCCGACCAGGTGCCCTCTTGCCAGATAAAATCGCAGGCAACGCGCTGGCATATTCTCTGCGATTTCGGTTTGCGCGCTTTCGATCTCAAGCACTGCTCGTCCTTAACGGGTACTTCCGGCCCATGGTTGCCTCTTCTCATCGTGCATTCCACTCTGCGCGTTTGAATCCCGGTGCCGCACGATTTCGAGCACTGCAAAATATTTCGATTCGGTGCAAACATCTGGCCGCACGCATCGTCATCGGCGACGGTAAAGTTTTCGACGCCACCGTCGCATCGGCACACGTTCGAATATCGAATAGGATATCCGCCGAATCGTTTTGACTGTTCTATCACGTTTATAGTTCGTTAAAATAAGATGGATTAAGAGAAGTTCCGTTTTGGAATATTTCGCTTAAGAATATAGTTCTCCTAAAACGCTGCTCCGTTCGCCAATATTTTTAAAACGCCTATATTTTTCTTTTCTTCATTGATTCTTCGTATAAAATACAATTCCGATAAAACGTTAACTTAGTTGCTATGTCTGATTGATTTATTTTTCTTGAATATTAAAAAATTGAAAAAGAATAAAAAAAAGACAATAGCAAGAAACGATGCTTCAAATAATTTCACTAGATGCGGTTTACTTACCGGAGTCCAACTAGACATTCTCCATCTGCGAACGATGTTAGACTCCAGACTGTTCTCCCTGCTGCTTTTAGGACTTCTGCAAGATTCTTTCTGACATCTCCTGATGTGTTTCGGTTGTTCGTCACTACACTCCTTGTGTGGTAGAATTTCACCGCGATGACTTTGACAGCGGACTTGACGATACTGGAATCCGTTACCGCAATCCGTTGCGTCGCACTAAATCATAAAAATCGTCGAAAGTATTATTAGTCAGGAGAATTACTATATTACATTTATATTTTTATTTTCGCAATAGATATATTCTGGAATATATGTAGTCTAAATGTAGTATAAAAAAAAAATATATATAATTTTATATACGGGAAATGTTTCAGTACCTCGCTCCAATCACCGGTATTCCAAGACGGGCACGGGTGACGATTGCACGCGATCTTGGCGATCGGTTGATTGGAGTCGCAATAATATTCAGGCACAACCAGCCCGGTTTCCGAGGATACACATCTCACTATCCTGCTTCTGTATCCTATATTGCACTTTCGCGAGCACTATACGTAAATAACGAAACAATATTATTACGAATTACAAACTGCAAATTTAAAAACTTGTGAAAATTTTAAAATCTATCGGACTATACAAATCAGTCGTACATCCTAATCGAATACAATAAATAAGCCCACCTCTCCGAACGATTCTGCGTGCCATTTGTAGCCCGAGTGGAACGTGATACCGTTGCTGTCAATTTCATTTTCTTGTGGGAACGAATCTTCACGTGGGGGATTCGTTGAAGTGGTCGGCGGCAGGCTCACCTAAAAAAAACAAGACTCTTTTATAAGTGTTGTATTATAAAAGAACATAAAAATATTAAAAAGAATTAGTTTAATCAATAACTGCAATGGTATTAATTGCCTTTACATTCTTAATTGCATTCTGAATGTAATTAATTTTAATGTACATTAAACTTTTTCGTAATACTCTGCGTTTTCGTTCTACTGTAAATTATTATTTAAAACAGATATCATTAAAATAATCAATTTAGTTTTTTGCTTTAAGAGCAGTGATATATTGATTTCTTCTCCAATTTTTTCTTCGTGAAAATTTAAACGTGCTTAATTTCTATTTCGTGGTAATTATAGTAACATTATTTTATTATTTTATATTCGAATCTTTTGTAAGTCGATTGTATTGCTACACCAAAAATTGTTTTCGTCAATAAAAATATAATGCACTTACTACAGTAGGACATGGTTTCAGCGTGCAAGTAACCGTTGTCTCTGGTTTCTCAGCAACGGGACATTCGTCACTCGGTGCACCCTCTACAGTCTTGCAAACGACTTTCCTTCGCGACGTTCCCTCGCCGCATGTCACTGAACACTGCACAACGAGAGACTAGATTCAACCCAAGATAGCTTATTAAACGCACGGTAACGAAGTAAAATTGTCCAATGTACTGTACCGGACTCCACTCGCCGGCAACCCAGCTGTGACATTTGGGACCGGCATCGCAGACCTCCGTCGTCACGATCGGCATACCGCTGCAGAAGGTGCGCGATACCACGCGATTCTCGACCTGGCACCAGGAGGCTCTGTGCCGTTTGCCCATGCCGCAGGTCACGGAGCACTAAAATATTCCACGGTAATCATTAATCCAAATTATTCACGAATATTATCCAGCATTGCATCAAATATTTGACAGATCAGTATTTCAAAAGGTTCTGATTTTTAAGAGAAAAATTAGTTTAATCAATAATTGCAGTGGTATTAATTGCTTTTTCTTAAATACATTCTGAATATGTAATTAATTTTAATGTACATTTTTCGTAATACTCTGCAATTTCGTTCTTACTATAAGTTATTGTTTAAAGTACATATCACTAAAGTAAAATTTAGTTTTACTTTAAGAGCAGTGACATTGATATTGACAGCGATATTGATTTCTTCTCTAATTTTTTCTTCGTAAAAATTTAAATACACTTAATTTTCAAAGACAAATCTGTTCTCCTGTGCTCTATATAGCATATTAAAATGCGTTTCTTCACAGCTAATATAAAATATTTGATTTTAATGTGCCATTTCACATATCTCCGTGTAGCGCGTGTCTTACCGGACTCCACTCTCCTAGATCCCACTTCGGACAGGCCTCTTGATTGCACGTCCTCTTGAGATGCTTCTCCTGCCTGGCGCAGTTCTCGTCCCGCACCTGCCGGTCCTTCGGATCAACGCACACCGCGCTTCTCAATTGCACCCCGCCGCCGCACGAGACACTGCAGGCGTTCCACTCGCTGTAACTCCAATGTGCGTCGTCGCAAGGACCTACGCACGCCTGATGCTCGCTCGGTTTCTCGACGTGCAGGCACGCGTGCGCCGGTATCGGCCGCGGTGGATGCGACGAGTCCAGCAAAATTTGGACGCATCGCGAGCTGACGGTTCGCATGCCCGGGCCACAGTGATTCGAGCACTCGGACATAGATGTTATTTGCCATCTGCAAAGCATTTAAATGGACTGAGTAACTAAAATTGTCTTTGACTACAGTATATGCACAAAATAGTGCGTATATCCCTTCTGTGACTTTGTCTCATAAATTTTTAATCTTTCCAAGTAACGGATTAGTAATACGTTAGCAACTCTATTTTCCCGATATTACTGATTCCGCAATTTCACAAGCGTTCCTGACTCACTGTAGTGTACAATACGCGTTGCACATCTGATTCTCCTCCTGCGGCTTTTCCTCGTTTCTGCAATAAGCGTCGGGCACCGCGTCCTTGTGCTCGGTGCTCCTACACTCGGCCTTACGATACTTCATACCCTGGCACATCCGGTTGCAGGTCGACCAGTCGCTGAGCAGCCACGTGTAGCTGTTTAGAATTCCTTTCGGCACGGTATACTCGTACGTGATTTGCGGTGGATAAACGTTTCCCACGGACAATATCTGGAATTCCGTATTCTCGGTTGAAGCGCAGTCTCGCACACCCGCCGGTCGCCGGAGAAACTACTTTTAGCTAAGTGACGCAATTGTAAAATGTAAACGGTGAAACCTGCCTCCAAAATTAAATCGATGCCGGTGGGCCGGGAACTGTTCAGCCGTTCCACAATCGATTCCGGTCCGCTGTATTCGATAGTGACGCCCGGATGCACGATCACCTTACGATGCATCACCATAAAGTTCCCGTTTAGAACGTACTCGCCGTCCTCGCCAATCCGCAGCGCTGTATAACAATAGGTTGAAATAGTTTCAGAAATTAATAAGGTGGAAGAATTTTCATATATAGAAAATATGTTATTTAGTAATAATATACATGTCAATGTATTATCACTAAATTCCAAAGTCTAAATTAACGAGGGTTTTATTAAACTACGGCCTTTTTTTAGTAATCGAGGCGCACGGCCTTAATCTTTAGAAGTTATTATTACAGTTAATGTAATAATAAATTTAGTAATAATATATATATCAATATGTAAAGGTATAGAAGGTTAATAATAGAACATTCATTTCATTTACAATAAATCTTCACGTATAATTTTCTTTACAATAACACGACAACTATTTTTATATGATAATATTATGCGTTTAGACGTAACGTTTTCGTTACATTAAAAGTCTATTCAACGTATAAGTAATGCAGGAAAATCTTACCGAGATAATTACTGTCGTTGTGAGAGCCCAGCCATCCGTGTTGTTTAATGTCAATGTAGCTGCTGCCGGCAGGGATCTTAGCTACCCTGGTGTAACCGTATACGCTGGCGTTGTAGGCGCCCGCGATCCTCTGACACGTGGCGTTGTCGCCTCTGCAGACCCCGCAGGTGTCGAGTTCGGCCGTCGAATTCAAGACGTGATCGCATCCAGCGGGCTTGCACTGGCCGTTAACGCATATGTGAAAAGTGTCGGGGCCGCATGGCGTCCCGTCGATCACTTTGTCGCGTAACATGTAATACTGATTGCTCTCCACTTGACAGTACAGTTTGCAGCGGTCCTGCGGCAGTACTGTAAAAGAAAATTTCTAAAATCGTATCTTCCTCACGTGCTTCCTCGGACATTGGAGATAGGATTAAGTCCATCGCATAGATGAATTAAAACATGAATAAAAAATATATAATTACTTACTTCTGGTATACTTTGCATGCCACTTGACATCTCTAGCAAGATTCTGAATGTTAAAGTTGTTGTTGTCGAATTTCGAGCACTGCTGTTCTCTGTAAAATAAAAATAAATAAAAAAATGAATACAAGAACTAATAATCAACTCGCTATCAATACATTTTAACGTCCAAGCAATTATATTCTTATATTTGGCTTTATCGGTCGTCAGACGCCTCTTAAAACCGCCAGTTAATCGACCGATCTGTGCTCTTGAGAATTTATGCAGTAAATGTCTGCGAGACACATACCTGAAGTCTGGACTACCTGGCGGGCACTCTCTGGTGCCGCAGCTGCGGTACTTGACGCGCTCGCCGATGCAGTAATTTCCGCCGTTCTTCGGCGGCGGATTGTCGCACTCGCGGTACTTCCGCTTGACGCCGCCGCCGCAGGTCCGCGAGCACTCGCCGTACCTTCCCCACTCGCCCCACTGGCCGTGCACCGGCTCGAGGTTCTGGCGCGAGACGCACTCGCCGCGATGGCACCATTTATCGGCGCCGCAGGGTGTGCCGTCGGCCCAGGGCATGTGCTGAGTGTGACACTGCTGATGGTGATCCCACAGTGGCGCGGTGCACCACAGTCTCCTACACACTGCCTGGCCGGTAACCGACCAAGCCCTCAATTTACTTCAATTCTTAAGCGAATTTCGATGGAAAATATCTCCGATTACAATTAGTAAACATTCCTCGCGAAGGATACCGCAAAACATCCGTAAAAAAAAAACCAAAGACATAGGCTGAATAAAATTAAAAAAAAAAGCGAGAGAACGGAACGTTCTCCCCATTTTATTCGCGATACGGTCGCAAATATGCGTCAATCAAACGCGTGAATAGAACGTTTTCGACTTACCATCACTCACCATGTGAGGACAGATTCTGGATCCTTGCCCGAAGACGAGCTCGCACTGTTTGTTCTCCGAATAGTCTTCGCCGGGTAACCGACCGTTTTGTCTCTCCAGCATCTTGCTGGGCTCGTCGAGCAAACAGTTGGCATATCCGGCTCTGGAGCAAAAAGTCATATCGCGAATTAATGAGGATTCCCGATCCCGCAAATCAGGAGAGAGAGAGAGAGAAAGCTGTTCACTCGAGTAGCCTTTGCGGATTATATACGTCTTGTTGACAATGTGTGAAACGGCGTATTATGAGGGTATAACAGTCGCTTAGGCTTAGAATCTCGTTAAACCGGATTTCTAAGCGACGGCGATGACTCGTTCCGGTCCCCTTCGACGTCGGCAGAAAAAGTCTCGCGACATTGCCTTTCTCGATCGAAATGAATTTGTCTGGCCGACATCCGTTCCCTGGAAATCGGCGCGTTTGACGCAAACGGTTTATTCTCGGCTTTTCTATTCGTGCCTTGAATCGTGATTCAAAATGCAATTTTAGAGCGCGTTAAACTTAGGCCGAAAAATGCGACATTGAATTAATTGTCCTGTCTAACTAGTGGTGCCCGATGTAATTAAATCATAGCTTTATTTTTACTGTTCTCTTCCAGAACAGTAAAAATAAAGCTACTTAACCTGATTAAGCCTATTTAAGCGCGATATATATGCGTCATTAACTCGAGACATGTACAAAGTGTCTCTCACTCTAAATATAGACTTCATTTTAATAATCGCTATTAAAGAACGCAAGAGAACTTGCAAATTAAATACAATTATTTATCTAGAAAATTTTTAACATACATTTGAAAGTTAAATAACAAAAGAATGGAAAGAGTTATTTATTTATTAAAAAATCAACTCAATAAATCTCTGGTCTCGGGAAGACGGGATATTGGCCAGTGGCCATTAATGGGTTAAAGATCTACGGGCTGCACCGTCACGAACGAAGAAAGGCGAAATCAACGCGGTCAACAGGCAAAACCTGACACATCGCATTGCGTATTGCCTCAAGTAGAGGTCACGTGAGGTCAATTAGTAACGATCTCTTTCCAGAATGTTCCACGGCACATCGTTTATAATAACCAAGTCATCCGCCAATTAATGACTCACTCGAGAAATTCGGTGACATAGTGTCGGGAACACTTGGACCACTCCCAGGGAAAAGTATTATCGTCCAGCATGCGCGACATCACGTTGTGGACACCCGAACGGTTCCTGAAACCCGCGCACTTGACGTCGTCGTCGTGCGGCATGTTGAGCCTGCAAAACACGATCGGACATTTCCCCTGAGTGATGCGTGAACGCTTAAAGAAAAATCATAATCACAATACGGACGAGTACAAGCAAAAGCAAATAACAAAAAAAAAAGAGAAACAACAAGATGAGAAAAGAGGATACTTAAAGAAGATTAATAGTACGAGTTAATCAAAGATTCAAGATGCTTGAAGAAGATTGATAGTACGAGGTCTGGTATAAAATGTACGATAATACGAGATATGGTATAAAACAGAAAAAAAAAAGAGAGAACAGGATTGAAAAATCAGAGATCCGAGTCATCAAGAGATACGCGGTAGCGTCTCGTGGCCGAGTATACATAGCACGGCAACAATCTCGCGAAGATACGGCGTATCTCTCTCGGGAAGAATTTAAATCATATATCTTGTTACGTAAATAATGTAACATATAGATTTTAAAGAACGCATCGCGTACCGACCGCACACTTTGTGATCGATGATACACTTACACGTGACCAATCTCGTGCGCGATGGTAAACGCCGCGGCCAATCCATTATCCTGCACGATAGCGCACGAAGATCCAGGCGAGCACATTCTCCCCAGCTCGGCCAGGCCCAAAGTGTCACAACGCTTTTGGCGCGGATTGTGACACAGATTTTCTCTGAAAATTATTTACAGTTTGTACATGTGTTCCCAAGCGTCAGATATTTATTTTTAAGATAATTGTTTTCGACACATTTAAGTTAAGGACTTCCGAAAATATCATTATTTACAATTATTTTATATTCATCATTAAACATCTTGTTAATTACACTCTTCTTTAAATTTTAACATTAATTAGTGATGATAAAATTACAAATATATTTTATGTAAATAAAGTTTTGTTATCAAGTGCATTCTAAAAATTTAGTTTATTTTAGACGAGAAAAATTTTAGTCGCTTTTAACTAGAAAATATTGTCACTTTATGTATAAAACAATAATTTTTGCGACAAATTTCATATTATAGAAGAACGTTTTGAATATAAATTTTTGTAATACAAACCTGGTTAATAGAAGCGCAGCGTCGTGATGTTCCGGAGAGGGTTCGTCGGGATTGTTGCGTTTCTGCCACTGGCAGAATCGCTTCAACATCTCGGCCGCCGCGATTCCGTCGCTGCCGCTATGCTTGACACCAAATATTTCCTCGGTCTTGACGATCTTCATCACTGCAATGCTCACCGGATTCCCGATAGACTGATCCTTGTAGATCCGTGAAACCTGTCTTTCCAGGGGGGCAGATAAGGAACACATCCGATAATTCGATTGCCAATTAATTTGTCATTAATTACTTTGTAGCTTTATTTCGCGAATTCCTACGTTTCCTACTCGACCGAAAGCCCTACGCATGTTTATATATATACATATTAAAAGAGACATCCGATCTATTCTGGGACACCGAGTCTGTACACAAAGAGTCTATTTCAATCTTTTTGTCCGCGCTCTCTTTCATTCATAAAAAATTCATGAATCTTAAAGTCGATCGATTGTTGTTGAGAAACACGATTGAATCATCGGACGGACGACAGGCGTGGGTTCGTGAAAGCGAACTCCTCGCAGGATGTTGCCCTCCCCGTAAGGTGTGGCCTTCGCGTGGGATACATAACTGGCGTAGCGTACTCGGTAATGACCGCCGTGACGAGGCTAATTGTCGAATTACATCGACATCTCCCATCTCCTTCTCCTCCTTCCTCTTCCCTTTTCTCGGCTCTGTTTTTTTTTTCATCAAGAATTTACTTTGAAAGAAACGTGCGAAACGAGTCTTCGTTTTCAAGATGAATGGCATTGTACTACGTCCTTGATCTTTATCAATGGATTTAAAAATTGCCACGTCCGTGTTGTTGTGACAATACAAATTGCTCTTTTGAGATCTTTCGATCAATTTTTCGTTCAATTTAGAGATGACTTATTTATTATTTGTTGCACCCTTCTAATTTATTATGTTGTATTCCTTTTTTAATAAAATTTGTTAAATTTATTAATTTATAATTATATTATAACAATTTATTTATTTATCTTTACTATAGAAAGAAGCTTTAGATTAAAATCTATTTGATGTTAATTAAAAAATATTTTTCATCATTCATTTTTTCTCTTAAAAGTTGAGCTCACTAGAAATTCGATATCTTAAATTAATTATTTGAAAGCTACAAATTTAGGGCAATAAAATTAAAACACATTTCGCGCCGCAGAGAATTCTACATATACGTATATAAACAAACGCATCAATCATGTCATGGTCAATTTTTTATCGAGGAAATCGCAATTAACTGGCGCGGCGTTAACGCAGAAATATAATTGGGATAACACGAAATTAAATATTTTCAAATTACGTCCGAAGAGAATATACCCACCGTGCTCATCAGGACAAGAATGTAGCTGACCAAGCCGGTGCCGTGGTACTCCACCATTTTCGCATCGGCCACCACCATGATCTCGATGAAATATTCACGCGGTAAGGCTCGCCGTGGTCTCCACGTCACGAAGGGATCCGTGTCCATCTCCGAGTCCTGTGCGTATTCTCGTTTTGATAGCCACGTCCACGTTCCACACTGTAGTACCTGGAATTCGTAGAACGCACGTTGCAGATTCGTTTACAGAGCGTCCCAAAATATGCAGAAAGCGCAGCGTTGTTCCTCGTAAAGATTAGAGTCAAGTCTTCTGCGAAAATGTTCCGCGAGAGAAGTCGTCAAGTTCTTTGCAATTTTAAAATTTCAATGATTACTTTACTCTCAAATTTCGTTGACTTAAGATTCGCTTTAAATTAAATAATGAATAATGTATATGCTGTTATTTATAGATTAAGTGCATACATATATACGTTTCTCAAATTTATTTCTCAATGATTTATACGATCCGGAAAAAAATATTTATGTAACAATAAATTATCTAATAATAAACATTACAAGAAATAATACATTGTTCATTTTGCACCAATTCTGAAATATCTTGCCGCATATTAACGCAATAAATATCCAATTCAAGATTTACTCGGCAAATTTAACGAATTAAGGACCGCACTTGAATATCTCGAGAACAAATAAATGTTTTTAAAAAATACAAAAATTTCTGTACTCGTATGTGCCTGTATACCTGTCGCCATCCAATCTTTGAAAAAAATTCTGACGATGATCGGTCAGCTCTGTGAATCGTTCGTATCCCTCGTCCTCCTCTCTAGGAAACCGCTCCAACGATGCGGTTTTCCGCGTCAATGATCTACGCTCCCGCGAGCGTTCCCCGACGTAAACTCTACGAGCGGAACTATCGTCGGTCAACGGGGATGGGACGTCGTCCGAGTCGTAATCTGCGAGCACATCGACAACGCCAATTACGATCAGGTCAATTAATTCGGGCGTCCGATATAGGAGAATTCGCACAAGGGGATATGTATCGCTCGCCGGAGTTGCAATATAATTGACACCGTAACGCCGAACTCAGGAACGTAGATCGGCGTTTTATATTAAAAACGAGACCGCGCGGTCGCGATAAATGTGAACCAAGAGACGAGAGAAAATTTCGATACGGTGTGGTATCAACGACGTCGTTTTTGTAGGCAGAGAGTATACGCGCGGCGTCGCCAAGCTGTCTCGATGGTACATCAGAATCCGCCCGGGGGAAGAGACGTAAATGCCTGAACCTGTTTTGGTACAGGTGGTCGTGCGAGTATGCGTTGAGTGAAAAAAAGACGCGACGCTTTTTCTCCGTGAGCCTCGTGAAGCACGTGAACATGCGTTTCATATCGGAATAACCGTGGAGTATATTCCGCGAGATTGTGGCCCGGCGCGGTGGAATAAATAAATGTTGCCTCGATTCACCCTCGTTATCGTCGACCAATGCTGGAACCAGTATTAATATACTATTGCGACCAGTATAATAACAATAATATGCTACTGATAATTTTATGTCAATTCTTCTTAACGATATACGTTTACGAATACACGAGATATTAAGGTAATTTCGTTATCAATACGTGATATAATTGCAACATATAAATAAATAATTATATATAATGTATTAATTATAATATAATGTAAATAATTTTCTAAATATAATATAAATAATTCTCAATCTATTAAAAAGCAATAAAACAAACTTGTTTTACATAACGTGAAATATCAAAATCTCTCTATTTTGTTCAATAATTGAGGATTGATCATTCGTTTATTTCGATAGCCACTGTTCAAACAAATTTCGCCGACTTGGCTTCATTTTCTTTCGCATTCTTTCGCCTTGCTTCTTCGAGCAGAATGACCCCCTTTTCCCAGTTGTATCATTAACGAATCATCCCACATACCAAACGGAAATAACGTATCGCGATATCGTAAATAAAATCGAAACTTTTCATTTACCTATCACGCCGCAATTGCGATTTTTTACTCCATTTTCGGAAGCATCCAGGTCGTTCAAATTGATCGCAGCCGTGGGTACGCGATAGATCGCGTGCTCTAACGAAGATCCAAGAGAATCTTTGTCATCCTCGTGCCAATGTTCGGTGGGCTTGATGAAGTAGCTGCCCATCGACGTCTTCATGTGACCAGTCTGAAAATCACAACGGAATTTATGAAACACATACACAAGTGTACGATAATGCACGATAGGTACATAATTGATAAAAAAATCAGCACAACTCGATAAAAATCCATTATTGTAGAATAAGATTTTTTACGAGATTTTGCGTTTTCGAGAAAATTAATTTCTCTTCGAATCGGAAAGTCAATTGCAGCTGGCGTCAAGAACCTCCGGCTCGGGGTGAACCAATTTCTAACGATTTAGACGTTGGAATTATTTACAAATGCGACGGTCTATGTAATCGAATGGATTATTACACGCACATTGCGCGTTTACGTGAAATAGGAGAAGATCGCGGTCCGCCGGTTTATTTTAAGCGGCGACTTACAGACAGACGCTATTTAGAAGAGCGTTATTTACAAACGGGGCGCCACCCGTTGTTATCCTATCCGCCTAACTAACGATACGTTAACTTCCCTCGATTAAACATTCGGAACGCGCGAGATGAACTCTCTTGAGCTATTTATTTTTTTTTTTCCGGAATACACAGACCCTCGGCACTCGCGGCGCGCACGTGCGCGGACGTACGCGAGAGCAGAGAACCGGGCGGGCGGGCGGGCGGACGGGTGGGCCGCACCTCTATTTCAAATACTTGTGACTTATGGCCCGTGAATTTTATTATAGCTACATTATCGAAGATCTCGGGCGCGTAACTAATTCGATTAAATAACGCATTCCGATGCTTATAGAACCGCACGAGAGCAAGGACGTTCCTCTCGCCGGCATGCGAGCTACTTGACATTACATAACGAGATTTCCTGCCAAAACGCGCGAAACCGGAGCAATAAAATCCATAGGGCAACTAATTAGCATATAAATGGCGCTAAATTTCTCGGGGCTCCGGAGCGAATCTCTCCCGATAATGCCCGAGAGAGGGGACCAATTCGACGAGATAAAAACTTATCTCGGCTGCGTCGAATTCTGAAGTGGGCGAAGAAAATCGGAAGGCCACGCGGTGACGCGAGACTTCTTAAATACATACATATATATTCAGGGCTTATCGAACGAAAACGAGAAGCTCATTTTCCCAAATGAGATCGTCTCTCGCGGTGCGACGTGCGGCGAGACGACCGTGCAGATAACGTGAATGAAACTTTACGTGACGCTCTGGGCCGGCCAGCCATCGTGTAAGCCGTGTGTAAGCCGATGGCACGCGGGCTCCGTATATACACGCTCTCCGCACGATTCGCTTGTGTTTGCGATTTGCATTCTTGCAGACATGCAGACCTTCTCTATTCCGCGCGCGGCACAAAGACTTGACTTGAGGATTACCGAGAACTCACGCGCGCGGCGGAGAACGAACGCCGTTTTTCTTCCCGTCCCTCTTTTTCCTCCCCCTTCCCGCGTCGCCGCGCTTCAAACTATCTTACCCTTTCTCTCGCCCATCTCCCTTTTTGCCTTTTCGATCAGCCACAGCACACGCTGCTGTACGGATCGCTAACGACCTCGCGATTATCCCGTGCTGAGGCAATTCATCGACCTTTCGACGAAGAGCGGAGTCGATTCAACGTGCCCCCTCACGTCATTCCGGTGAGAATGCCGCTCGTTAATTAATGATGCGAAACTCCGAAAACTACCGCCGCGTTAATGCAGACATTCGGGATGGCGTTTACATTAAGATTCCTTCGCCGTAATCGCCTTAAAACGCGTTAAATCCCCAGTTTATCTGACGGTGCGAAAATGTATCTGGAAGAGATTAGAAAAGGGTAAGAGGAAGAGGAATTCACGTGACTTTCTCTCACTTCTGATATCTCGAATGTACGACTGCGGCGGAGGAAACGCGGAAGCTTCAAAAGAATTAAGTAAATTAGCGGGCTGAGCTAGCGTTTTTCAAGCGTCTCCTCGGCGTGGATGCCGCCCCTCCGTCCGTCGCGAGACGAGCGATGTGAGCAGATTGTGAGCAGGCTGCAGTACTGCGGCAAGCCGTAAAAACGCTGACCGCATCCTCCTGTATCTCTCGCGCTTCCGTTGCCGAGCGCGCGTGCACGCATCACGTTTGCGTATTGCCGATTGTTTTGACTCGACGTTTCGACTCCGCCACGCCGGAGTCCGTGTTTATGCTAAAACATCAAAAACTCTGTGTCGCGACGACGGTGTTTAAAAAATAAAAAAAATACAGCGCTATCGCGGGCGGGCAATAATACCGGGAAAGATGCCGCCCGCGAGACGTACTACCGGGAAGAAAAAATATGCGAGACGCGCACCACGTGTGTGCATTACGTTTCGCCGTGTGCAGAGGCTGGCCGGCCGGCCGGCTTAAATTATAAAGGCGGTTTAGGGTACCAGGCCAGGTCGGAGTTATCTTTATTTAGGTTCCGCTTAATACGGGGCATAATACATCATAATAAAAGGTGGCCTGGGCTGTAACGTGCCTTGCGCGGGCCTGTACGACGAGCGGAGACAATAATAGACTGCAGTAATTCGACACGAGAACGCGTCTGAATATTTTAATATTAAACATAAATTTCAGCTCTTTGAAATATCCTTCGCTGGAGCAATCATATATTTCTTTAAGATTCGGGGAAAAATCTTTTTTAATGCAAAATAAAAGCCTAATACTTGATCTAACTTGGATCACTATTTTTTTTTAGGGACTTGATCACAATGTATATTAATTACGTAAAAAATTATAAAATTACTAAAAGCATTGTTGATGAAATTGCTACATTACTAATAATGATAATAAGCGTGTGAATAACCGAATCGTTTCTTGCTACAAGAATACGTGATTGCTTTCCACGCGTCACGAGTTCTTTAAACTTTTAACTTCACATTTACTTTTGATAAACGCTGAAAAAAATGCTCGTGTCTTATCTTAATGCCTTTTATCTAAATCGAAACAGAAAGTCGAGAGAAAACTTCTTAGATGAGTATAAAATTTGCCGTGCGTCATCGTTCGTAAATAAATATTAATTAAACGAATAACTTAATTACGTTTTTTACGCTTATCGCATCGTTGTCGGGGCACAAATCAAATTCAGCGTTTCTGCATCCTGTCGTTCATGACGAGGTGATCTCCTCGTTAAGGCGGCCGTATAAAATGTCATCACAGACAAAATATCTCCAATTAATTCCGCCTATTATATTACACATTTCTGTCAAGGTCGTCGGGCTCGATCCAAAACTGGTCGTACCGGCTTGAGTAGAACTTGCGGATTTGCGTTCTTACGGTGCCGTTCCGATGCCGAAAAACAATATCGAGTTTCTTAGCAAATCGGGTGCTTCGAACGCTGCAAACATTTCAGCAATTTAAAAGCTTGTTCACGGGACACAATTAATAATAATATAATTATACTATAAGTTTTTCATAAAGTGTAAAAGACAAGAAATGTAAGAAATCTTTATAATAATATAATTTACATATAATTTATATAATATGCCAAATAATCACGGAGAGATTAAGTCGAACGCAAAAATCATTTTTTTATCAATCGCATATCAATCTATAAAGAGCATTAAAAAATTTTGTTTAATATATTCTTTATATTTAAACAAAATTAGTTTTATGTCGTTATAAAATATAACGATATATATAAATCACAGATGATACGATTTCCAAAAGTAACATGAAAAAACATATTTTAATGTAATTATATTAGAATGTAAAATGTATGGTCCATCGTTTATTAAACTTTGGCTGCGTTCAGCAGAGAAAACAGCTTTGCAACTGTTGTGAGATTCTTCAACATGATTGGTTCTTGCCTTTAGTTCTTCACGGATCTAAATGTATAAATCAATCATATTAAAGAATTTTACAACAGTTGCAAAGCCGCTTTTTCTGCTGAACGCAGCCTTTGTGTCTAACCGGCATCAAGAAAGACAGAAAATTAGTTTTCAATCTTGTCAGGTATAATTTTATGTTAAGTATTCATTCCCGCGAGCTTTTCCCGTATTCACGTTAGATTGAGATACGAGTGTGTTATCGTCCCATCCGTTATCACGATCGCCTCGCCAGCAGAATACTGTACGATTTGTAATAGAGATCTCCCTCGTGTCCGCCTAACAGCGTACTCTGTTATTATGACGATTCGTGACTGAGATTTAAACAAATAAAAAGATATGCGATGATTACCGAGCCACGAGAAAATTATCTTGGATTTCTTGCCACGCGCGCGCATCGGCTCGTGACGGCCGCATATATCATACGTGTCGAAAGACACATAAAATCGGTACACTACGTGCACTTATACTGTTAACGTAAAATCCATCGAAACTATCGGATATCTTTCTCGCTGCAGATTGGTCCACATGAAAACGATTTTTTTTTTTTTAAAGACGCGCGTCCCTAAAGAAAGTAATAAATGTTCTTATAATATCTCGTAATATTTTTAACAATTTTCCATATTTCGAATTTATAAAGTTTTCTAAAAAATATATAGCTAAACAGATTTTTCATAAATTTTCATCGAAAATTATATCATATGATAAAATGCGAAATCTTATAAAATATTTCAGAACTGACAAATATGAAAAATTCTAGAAAAGATGTAGAGTTTTTCGACACTTTCGAAAGTATTCCAATTGATATAAAAAATCTGAGACATTTTCTAAAAAGTTATAGAATTATGGAAATACAGAGAAAATACTGAAATTGATATAGAAACTCTAAAAAATCGTAGAAAGTATGCTAAGAAAAATTTTCACCCAGGGGCAAGTAAGGTCTGAAATTATAGGACTCCTAACAAGATGAGCTCGGAAAGGGATACCCGACCATAAACTATATAATTTTCAATTCAAGGCACGGAACACCGAGGGCAATAAAAAGGATTAGCGGATATCAGAAAATGATGAGGAGAGCGAACGATCGAGATAACGACCGAGATTCACTCGTCTCGCGAGGCAGGGTCGAATAATTAGGTCGAGTGGCTCGGCTCGCTATCACGAGAGTAGAGACATCAAGGCTCAGCTCAGCCGGGGCGCTTGTTTCTTCCCTATTTCTACGCATGAAACAGACGGCCGATTGATCCAGTCTAACCTTGTCATGGCTAAATTAAAGCGTGACCCAAATCGCTACGAGGAACATTAAACGAGGAGCAAGTTTCTTCTATTCCATTTTCGCTCCCGGAGCCTCTTTCCCAGAGAGAAAGCCCGAGTCTCGCGAAGGATCTCTCGCGAGAGAGATCCTAGCGGGGAGAAGGGTCGGAGCGCGAGACCCTGGAAGGGTCAACGAGACCCGGACGTACTTGCTAACGCTCGCAAATACGTACGTTGCCATAACGATTCTCTCTTCTCATAAAATCATTTTGAGCCCCCTTTCGGTCGAAATAGCCTCCTCCGTCTATCCGAGAACGAAATCATCGCGATCGCGGCAATCAATCTTACGTACCGCATCGTCCTGCAAAAAAAAAAACTCGACAGAGGATTCTTTATGGGTCCCTAATGAAATCCCGATGGATCTTAATGAATTTCTTATTCGGGCTTGCATAAGATAATCGAGAGAAGCGATCTTTGACGGAAACTCTAAACTGTTTCGGAATGGATTTGACGTAAAGGACGATATAAAAAACTCAAAGGCATCCTCGTCCGACATATAACTGAGCAACTGTGATGGTGATGGTGGTGGTGGTGGTGAAGAAATTTCAGACAGTCCCTAGACAGTCCCAGACGATGAACGACTCGGACAGTCTCAGATGTCAAAGACTAATTTATCCGACGTGATGTATAATACGTTTCGAAGAATCGATTGGAGGACGACAACTAGAATTTCCGCGCGCGCGCAAAAAAAGATGCCTGTCATTTCCTCCATGTTTCGTAAAAGCGCACGGCCTCCTTCGCAATCGGCCAAGGGGAGATTGCGGCTGCACTAAAGCGGCGGGACAATCCCTCCGTCGCGTCCCGGTCGTGATGTACGGGCCGTCTCGCGCAATAAATCCCCGCTCGCGCGGAGTGTCGCGAATAATTCTTCTCTCCTAACACCTCTTGATATTAAATCCAATCGTATCGCGGTCTATACGTTTCCATGAAACGCCGCGGTAGATGTTTGCGGTGACCAACCGCGCATTCCCGCGCTGAATGGCTCACGCGGAGTCGCGCGAATACCTGGACAATCCCGAGGTATTTGATATACGATCGTAATTTTTTTTCCTTCCGAATCGCCTTTCGGGCGTATAGAGGCGTAGAGCCAGGCGATTCCGCCGGGCATGGTGTGCGCGAGGCACGTGTGTAATCCAACGAATCATATAAAATGTATACCATTCCATGCTGATACACGCGGCTAATGCCTACGGGCCTTGAACCTATTTTTTGCGTGCAACTATTTTCAGATATCCTCGCGTATGTACCGTGTAGAACGTCTGTTTCTCTCTCTCCCTTTCTCTCTCTTTTTCTCACTCTCTCTCTAAATTTTCTTTTTTTTTTCTGTTACGTGCATGTTACTCGCATGTTACTGAAAAATAAATTATGATTTGTTATTGAACTACTCCCAAGAGATTGCGACTTGTTGTATAATTCGGCATGCTATATTATCGTATTCGGTAATACGTATCCCGTTACGTAAAGTTTCACATTGTGCAACGTCTCGTTTTGTTCGAGTGCATATTTAAAAAATTCGCGATCTCTCCCGGAAGCTCAGCCGCGACCTTATATACACCCGTCCTTTGGAAAGTGGAAGCAAGTATTAGCTACAGGTTTTAAGCGCGAGGACTTCTAGTTTCTCTCCGCCGCGCCGGTGCCACGTGCGCATATTTATTACGACTATAAATTAGGAGAAAAGTGAGCAAACGCGACGATATGTTATTTATTATTGTAAATTATCGCCGATCCCTGTGGCACATCTCTTGCCGATATCGCATAACGATACGCTACAAAACGCCGCTTAACGGAAATATTTTATGGCGGAGTAGGTTTTTGAAGAGAAATACCGAGCTTCGGAAAAAGGGTCAATGAACTCTCTCTCTCTCTCTCTCTCTCTCTCAAGCCTCTCAAATTGATGTGCGACCGCACGACGTCCAAACGTTACATGAAAAGAATTCCGAAGTTTGGGGAAAGCGTCGGTAGCTGCAACGAACAATTTCGAATTTATGGGAAAAGAGAAAATCGGAGACGTTTACAGGGAATCTTTTTTTCCAACGAGATTAAATATATCCAACGCGAGGAACGTCAATTCAATTTGGACTTCGCGCGCCGAGCGACAGTGTACTTTCCTCACCCCCTTTTTACGACGGCGTAAAACAATTTAATGTAAACGCACTTGGATAAAAGGTCGCGGAGACGGATAATACTCCCCTTTAGTATCGCTATCGTGTGTGTAGCTTCATGTTGCAAGCGTGCAATCGTAACGCCACGAGGCTCGTAAATATTTACGAAATGCGCGATGAATCGGTAACGCAACCGCGGTGGCATTCGGCATTTACGATCATTAACGTACGCGCGATGCGAGAGGCGTTCTTCGATCCTCTTTCGGTACTTCCGGCGCTCGCCGGAGAATCAACTCGTGTCTAAATGTATTTTTAACGATAAACGGATGCCAATAACTAAAATAACAGACGCATAACGCATAGCACGAAGTATATTCGCCGAGCGATGGAAAACACACTTGGCTGTCCCAGCGCGCCGACTTCCGCATGCTAATGCGATTCACGCTGCGGAGAACACAGGCGACCGGGCAGATTTATCATCCTCGCAATCGGCTGGAATTAACGCACCGGCGTCGTGTGCGCGTATAAAGAATCGCGGGGATGACGGTTTTCTGAAGCTTGATCTCTGACTCACCATTCCGTGACAAAGGCTGACACTGACCGCTGAACTTGGATCGCCGTCGACTGACCCGCTGTAGAAGCAGCCCAAGTGGTGACCGGCGTGCTCCCTCCTGGTCGTGTTCTCGCTCATGTGTGTCACCTGCGTTCAACGTCATCGCGACGAGGCTAATTAAGGCTGTGTCAATTAAAATAGCGAAACGGCCCACCAGAGTCGCGGCCGTAGCTCGTTTCGCTCTCTCTCTCTCTCTCTCTCTCGCTTCCTCTTTGTGCATTTTTACACAAAGATATCGCGACAAAGGCAGTATAATTGTATTTATAGCCGTTTAGACAATCGCGTGAGATGATTTAGCGACAGAAAAGAATGCCACTCGATCGAGCCTCCTCACCTTTATGTCGGGAGCTACGAAACTGGCGTCGTGTGCCAATCGCAAGCGAAATCGTCTTCCAAAGGCGTTAAATTCGTACTGCGGGTGAGGGTCCCAGACTTCGGCCGTCGCGTGCCTGAAGTGGCCACTGTGATGCCTCTTCGCCGTGGAAAACTGCTCCGCTGGAAACACGAAAAAACTTTGTCAACTAGCAGATTGTAACGATGTGCTGCATAGGCAAAAGATGACACAATTTTATAGAAATCTACTGATATATTTTTCAATTTCTCGTTATGTCATATATGTATTTTTTGTGTAATATGTTTCAGTGCTTAATTTTTTACATACACGTCATTCATTAGTGTTTTTCTAGATATTTATTGTAGATTTATATGACTGTCTATGTTAATAAATTATTTTTGAAATATACTCTCTTATATATTCAGATTCAAAAAGAAAAAGGGTCGAGATAAACGGTAAAAGCAAAGACGTGTAATACATAGAGGTCAAATATTCGTATACTTTCACTCAGCAAGTAAAACCAGAGGTGGACAGTTCAAAAATTGAGAAAGATTCTATTCGCTGCAGACACTTACGTGGATCTTCATACTGATTTTGACTAATTTTTAAAGGCTTGACGTACTCCAGATTGCCCTTAGCGGACGGCAACACATCGATCGACGCCGTGCTATTGAATTCCTTTGTACTTTGTATTCCCTCAGGAAGCACTGAAATGAAAGAATAATTAATTAGTATAACGCTTGTTGTTATCCTTTAGATTATCCTTCAATCCTTTCCTTAGTAATTATTAATCTGTAGTATTTTTGTAATGTTTAATAATTTAAATAACAACGGCACTTGGAAAATTTTACAATGTAAACAATTTGATGAAAACTACGCAGGTCTCCTTTAACTTGCAACAAGGGGACCGTACGTATCCATTCATTCGTCTCATTTTCTATCTCTCAGCTCTTCTCACTCGAGAGAGATCGTCAGTTACTTAACCACCAGTTAAAATTTTATTATCAATCGCGGATCTCTTTTTGCTTCGAGTAGCATTATTAATGTGACTCATCGAAAGATAAAACGGCTTTATACGGCTCGAATGTTGACTGACACTAATTACTAACCGGCCTGGAAGGAGCCAATCTACCGGTATAAACTGAGTAACTGCGCGCAATAACGATCGGCCAAGCACCGTTCTACGACGTTTCTGACCGCGGCACCTCGCTCGTCGAGGTGCCGCCGTGCCGCGCGTCCGGTCGCCGAGCGCGGGGCGATTTGCTTCTCTCTTTACGTTATTACATATCGGGCGTTTATTATACATGCACGGGAGGGAGGGAGAGGGGGGAAAGCGCGCGATTAGCGCGTCCGCTAATTTAGATTTTAACGGCGGATCGTGTGTTCGTCGCGCGGGACCTTGAGAAAATTATTCGCGGAATAAACGCAACGAACACGCGCGCCCGCGCGCGGAATCGCCTCGCCTAATTATATCGGGGGCTCTACCTATAAACGCCCCGGGCCTCTCGGCGCACGGCTGGCCCGCCGGTAGTACACGGCGTCTGGAGAAACACATAGCACACGCACGCACGCACGCGGGTTCTATAATTACGCACGACAGTTTTCGCGAGACTCGTATCGAATGTCGGGTCTGAATCACACGGATCATGAGATACAACGAGCGAATGCCCATACAAACCGAATTTACGGTCTCTATCGTACAACACGTGCTACCCCCCGTACAGCAGCGCGCGTGGCGATTTTCTTTTTTTATCTTCTTCAAAGATAAATATCAAGAGAAAGAGAGAGAGACGTGTTCTCTCTCTCTCTCTCTCGCACGCGCGCGTGAAGAGGAAAACATTTCGCTATATACATATATGCAGCTGCGGCATGTGCGGTGCCCCGTGAAAGATTACAGAACAAAGGGGACACACCGTGTCGCGCGTGCCGCGGTAGACCAAGCCCGGTTGCAAAACGTGGTCGCGCGAACACGTGGGCGACGCCGCGCCGCTAGTCGAGAGTGCTGCACAGCGTCGAGGGTTGCGCAATCCCGGGGACGTTACGAGGATATATTCAAATGCGAGACGATCCGGTAAGAGGCTGCGAGTAGTATGTTGGGTGAGCACCGTTGTGCTGTAGCGTAGTTATCCGTTGTTATCCGTTCATTTGTTGTCAGCGGTACGTACTCGCGAATGCGTTATTGTAAGGTCCTTATACCCAAGGCGGATTTGCATAGCCGCATCACGCCTTACGTGCGCGCACAACGAGATCATTCACGTGTCTATCATTATGACGCGTTTAACGTATTAATGAGACGCAGGGAAGAACGAGCGTATCTTCTAATATTGGATGCGATCGGTTTTCCGTTGCGTATACGGCATTACGCAACTAACGCAAGTTCGCTTGAATAGGTCTTTAGCATTACAAACGGGGACTTCTCGAACGCGTCATGTCTAGATAGATATAAATGGTTTTAGATCAATCGCACTTTGAACCGCGAATGTGTGCTCTGAATCGAGGCTCTCTCTTTCTCTCATTGAAAATTCGATGGAGTTACTCATCTGATTCGTAATTGTATTTATGACTGAATTTGATAAGAGATATATTTTTTTTCTTCATCTTTACGAACGTATATAGCTAAAACTGCGTGTGTCAGTATAACAATATTAGTTCAAGTTTATATTTTAACGCAATAAGGGAAAAAGCAATAATTTTGTAGAAGCAATGGATTTGATAGCGTAATAATCTTTGCTTTATAACTTTGTAAGACGTGCAACATGTATCGAATACTGACTTTAAATTAGTGGCTACGTTTTTTAAAGCCCATATTTGAGAAAGAAGGATTACAGAGACAAAGTAGCAGTTTGTCTACTAGAAAAAGAAGATATTACTTAAAGAATTAAGGCTAAGGATCTTCCCTTAATGTTAAAATATAAGATAAAAAGTCCTACAATAAGAAAATCTGTAAATGATAAACATCCATCCATAACGAACGCTGCGGCGTTTACGATATATTTCTAAATATCCCTTATATATATATCCCCTGATAAAAAAAAAATTGTTATATCTCATCTGAAATTTCAGAATTCACATATATAAAAAATTCCAGAAAAGACGTAGATATTTTCACTTTTGAAAAATGTCCCAATTTGTATAAATAAATCTGAAAAATTTTCTAAAAAGCTAGAAAATTCTTACAGAAATTCTTCAAAAAATTTTGATATTTATATAAAGAATTCACCAGGGAGTGTAGCGACCTAAAACAGAAATGCGTGACCCAAGTACGTCGAGAAAGCTTAAAAACACGCGATATGTGTTTAGCATCTCGAAATATACGTCACCAAATCCAACGAGCGTTACGATGTTTACATTTTCGTCACGTCGCACGATGCATTTCGTTGCCGTACGCGCGGGACTGTTTGTCGAAGCCCCGGTAAGGAGTAATAGTAATTATCCGTTTCAACTTCCCCCGAGGCTCCAATATTCATCTAATAAACCGTAATATTCCTGAAAATATACCGACGGAAACGTGCCGGACGTGCACGCTACCCTCCCCTTTACGAAAACGACACGTTTGTTTGGCGCCCTAAAATTCGCAAAAAGAATCCTCTCCCTGCCAATGGGTAACAATAACCGCTTCCGTTCCATTTCTAAGCGAGACGTGCCGGAGTAACGCGTAAGCCATAAATATCTTCTTGCATTTTGAGCGCGGAGCTAAGTAAGTATCGCATCGTAATTTTTCGCAATGATTTCACGTGCGGAAACATCGTATTACGTATACTATCATAAAAAAAGCAAGGCGTGCGCGATAATTACATCTGCGGGGAGAAGTTAACTTGAAGCATCGTCAAATTATCCTGTCTGATAACGCGTGCAGGTTGATTAAAGTAGAACGCGTTCAGAATTTCATAAGCCTCATAATCGAATGAACATGAAGTAGCGGGTCCTTGGAACATTCCGCAATTTTTTCGCACACGCCAGATTGCTCTTTTTTAGAACGACACTTAAAACTTTTTCTGCATATCATTAAGCAATAACCGCGACAGTCTTCTTAATTGTTTAATTGACAGTGGGAAACGATAACAGAGCACTACTATCGTAAATAGCAGCCTTGAGCTGTCGGATATCGGTGTACAACTAGTAACACGATATTATTGTAATAATGAGTAGACTAAATTGCAACGTTGCACGCACGTAATCATATCTTTGCGATTACATTGACGAGAAGAGAAAACAAAAACCAGATTAACCAATCACTCAGAGCACACACATTATCGCAGAGCAATTTTCGACGCGTTGCTCAAAACGTTTCTTCCGATTCTGCTGCCGATAAATAAGAGGGAAAAGATAACGGAAATTTATTTCGAGCTTACAAGCTGCAAGCCGACTTCTGTTCCATCAATATTTCTAATTATATTTTCGCGCATAGCAAGAATTTAGAATAATCCCTCATTTAACGACTTATAATTGAAGTTATAATAGCTACGTTCTCGTAAGATTTGAAGAAATTGTCTTCTCGTCAGGGAAAAATTATCCTCGTTCCGCGAATCGTTCCTACAGCGAGATCCTCAAGTGTTACGTGTCGTTGAACTGTGTGACGTTTAGGTGACATTGTTTCCTCCGTCCACAAAAGATCCATTCTCATTACACCGCCAGACCGCTCCTCTCGCGTAAACGTTTACGCTTCGGCCGTCTCGGCTGCGCCGAGTGACACTCATTTCGCCTTCCTCTTGCCGTGCCACAAGGCGGACACTGTTCGCGGGGGAAAAGAATGTCCGCCAGTGTCCCGCGTGCGTTGCCGTTTAATTACTGTAATCGAAACGCGAGCCTGGAAACAAGCGAGAAACGTGAAGTCATCCGGAAGAGGCAGAAGAAATGGATTGAAAAAGACCCCTCCCCCGCCACGTATAAATGCATTTTCTCAATTAAGATAACAATTGCACAGAATTCTCGCAAGCTCGAACAGAATCGTTCGATCGTATATATTGGCTAACAAAGCGTCATTAATTCGTATTAACTTAACTCGATGGGAGAAACGTTCCGTAACGTATCATTGAATTAATTGTTAACTACGCTATAAGTGCGCTTAATATCACACATGTGGCATAATTTGCGTCTTTACGACTTCTTATATAAGGATAAAATATCTCCTTCGCGTTTCGTTAACTGCTCGATCTTGCGATTGACTGCGAAAGAAAGAGAAATTTAAAAAAAAAAAAAAGATGAGAGAAAAATCTCTCCTGGGTTTTCAAGCCGAGCTAGAAACATATTGCTCTTACGCAAGGAAGTTGTAACTTGCTGTACCTAGTTTTCATCGACAAACATGATCTCAGCGAATCGTGTTAATAACTTTTAATGCAGGCACGTTTTCGAGAAGGCAGTAAATTATATCTTGCCTCGCGAGAGTCAACTGCAACGTCAGCACGGCAAATAAGTTTGAGAGTACGGCACCGTTTACTCTGAATAGCGTGACAATAAAAAAACACTTGCCACCGTATTATTACTGAACTAGATTAGATACTGGCAGAAATTATGCAACCGATAAACTGATCGCGGGGACGCAAGTGAAGTATGTTAATGTCAATGGCTGTCAATTTGAATACCTGCTCGAAGTATGCATACTTAAATAACGCAATTAACAAAGAGATTTATCTTCCTCATTTTTCTTCTCTCTAATGATCCCCTTGAAAGTAACAAACAAAGAATTGACTTAATTTGCATCCGTAAATCAATTATTATGAGAACGGATTCGAATTCTCGAGTAAAGGAGAAAAATAAATGCAATTTAAAATTGTGAAAAAATTAAATGATATAAAAAAAAATTCATTTCTTATTCATTCCATTCAATTCATTTTCCATTTAAAGAAAACATGATGATAGGTTACGTTATCGTTGTCACGTTATCAGAAATCTATCTTCGATCTGTCCATCAACTGCAGCAATTACTGCATGCAGGAGCACCGGGCGAAGCTTCGTCCAAACTGAAGTCTATTTAAAAAAATCGAACGGAGCGAAGGTGGCGTAAAATTGCGAGCGGCATTGGTGCCGGCTAAGGTTCAAGACCGTCGAAACGTTATCGTATCATCCCCGAGTGCCAGCTGGCTTTGGCTATTTTAACACGAAAATATATAGTCTCAGACGTAAATTATGACCGGTGCGACCGATATATCCTGCGGCGAGGCACAGTGGCCCGAGTTCTGTAGATTCGGCCGAAATGTTTACGGGAGAGCGAGAGCTTTAAACGTCTGGCAGGCAATATCACATCCTGTGAATGCATTCGCATGGTGCTCTCGTCAGCGCCTGAGTAAATCTTTTCCAGGATGCTTTAATATATATCAGCCGGCTTCTTAGGCCAATCAAAGACACAAGGCGTTTTCGCGGATCTACCTGCCTGTTTAAACGCGAGAGAGCTTCTCCTCCTCCTCCTCCTCCCCCGTTCAAGTCCAATCAAACAACGAGAATTCTCTCCCATCTGTCGAAACAAATTGTCAGTCTATTCTCGAGCTTCGTTTACAGCTTCCGAGTATCTAAAATACACACGGGACGTGTTAAATGTTAATACGCAATCCAAATACACGAAGACGCGTCGCTCAATCAAGAGACCGTCCCCCTCCCTCGATAATACGTGCAACTTTTTTTTTTACGTCTTATGTTTTATGCAAAAATCTAAAGTCCTTTCACGCGGGATATATATATATACCTACACGGGCTTCCTTTAGGATTTCACGAAAATCCCGTGGGTATTAAGTCAAAATTATTCAGACACGGCACGTAAAAAGCAACACAGCAAATTCTCTTCGACGTCCTCGTAAGATTTATCGATGTCGCCTTCTAATAACCGGTCGACCTGTTAAGAAAGAAGGATGTTCATTGCGTGGGAGCCAAGAAGAATGGCGTTGTCTGATCAAACACCTTCGTGCCAGATGACGAACCCAGCGGACGATCTTACGGGGGGTGGAGGGGAGGGAACGGTATACAGACATGAGATTACACTTTCCACTCGATCAATGGATCAACTACTACGAATTTCGAGCTCGACGGCTGGATGTCAGGGGTTAAATTGGAAGTGCCGGAGATCTCGAGAACGGAGGATCGCGGTGCAAACACGTATATGTAGGTATTGCATTGAATTCCCGCCACGAGATAAGCACGGTGACTTGGGCAAACTCGTTAATAAAGAATTTCCGTAGGTGCGTTGCATTCGTGCGTTTTATACTCCGGACATTTACGGAGAGACGGTGTGTGTTGGCACGTTGCTGCATCATGCCGGCTAATATGGACTAACAATCAAGGCCTCGCTTGAAACGGCATGCAACACACTTTAGAGCGTAGTCCAAGAGCAACTAGTAATGGAACTCGGAGGGGGGAAACGGCGCGAACAATTAAAGTAGAATACCCGCCGGGGGAAATTGCTAAATCGCTATTTTGCAAACGAACGCGGATTGAACGACTTTGACATGGACGAAGGTATAAATCGCATAATTTATATATATATATATATATATATAGACAGGCGTAGCGGTGTCAGCGATTTATGAAGTATCAAATCGGTAAATAACAATGTTAAATTGTTTTGAAATGCCTGACAAAAAAAAAAGGTCAGTCTGCTTCTCGTAACGAGCCTTTTAAATCCGCAGCTAATTATTTCTTTCTCGAATCTTTACTTTCAAGACGAGATTGTGAAGTTCTTTTACGGGGATCTGAAAGACAGAAAAAAAAACCTATTCAATTTACATTTCGTCTGTAAGGGCTCGGACCCACCACCGCGTATATCTGGGCCTCGTAAATGGTATATACACGTTCGTATACGTTCCACGTATATATACGAACTCGTCGATAAGGCGGTCGGAAAGGTGTTCGAAAACGAACGCGGTAAAAGGATGCCTCACGAGGACGACGTTGCGCTTAGTTAGAACGCGTGATACCCCGCGTCTGCTGACCCTGGCAGAAACACGAGCCTTCACGACGTACGCACTTTTAGTGGCGTTCGCCGGTCGAACCGGCCTGCACTCGACTTTTCGTTACATCAACGTTCCATCCTCGTTTATCCCTTCTGCGGCGGGCGGGCGGCCGCGCGTATTAGTGTCGCACGTACGTACGTATGTCTATCCTACGCTCGTGTATAGGCGCGATGTTTTGTGTCACGATGCCAACGTGGCGAAGAATACGGTCTTATCAACGTGCATACGCGCGCGCGCGCGCGCCCGCTCGCGATGTCACACGAGGCAGCCGCGATTATGCGTTGTATGCGTTTTAACGAACCGAGCTTGCCGGCAAATTCGCGAAAACGTATATCTACCTCATTACAACGATATCGCTTCTCGGAACGTTCGCTTGGGAACGGAGGTGGAGGATAGGGTTTCGCAACAGCCGAAAAAGATACTTCAATTTCCGACTCCCGGACGCTCCTTCGGTCTTGGAGAGAGAGAGAGAGAGACTGCGAACGAAAAATATACGTTCGTGTGTATGAAAATTTATCATTTTTTACAAAAAGAAATATATTGTTGATTAGAAGAGAGAGAGAGAGAGAGAAAGATAGAGTGACGTCAGCGATGAAAAATAGCCTCCACGCAATAGGATTCATGCACCTTTCGTGTGGATAATTATTTTTGCGTAAGAAAATCACGAGTTGCGAAAGGAGGATGCGCGGAAAAAGCGGTGGCGGCGACGGCGGCGCGGCGGTTGAGCTGATGAAGCGCGCGAGAGATGCGGACGTTTTCTGTATGAGACACGCGGATGTTGTGCCGTGTACGCGTACGATTTTACATACACTCGCGCCTATGTGCTTACACGTAATGTAATGCACGGCACACATTCTTTTACATACATGCTGCGCATTAAGAATATCGAAAGCATCCAGGTTCTGCGGCTTCCCAAGGCGGCTGTGTATTGACACAGCGCCTTATCATAGCTTATTAGAATTTTAACGATTCGACACGCGCGTTTCTGTTGGAGAAAAATTCTTCGCTGCATGATACAGTAACATACTTAAGTAGGCCTGTATAAAAATAAACGATTATCTCTCTCAATCTGTTTTTTTTGTTGTTGTAAAATCTAAAGAAATCTAAACATCTCGAACAGTCATTCCTCCTGAGGTCAAACGCGGCGGCAGTGTGATCTCAGTAAGTTAAAGAACGTTTCTACCTCTCACGGTGAATGCTACTGAGAATGCAGGAAAAGCTGCAGAATAGAACAAATAGAAAGTCCACGGTACAAAGAAACTAACGCAGCTGTAAGGAGCTGTAAGAAGAAGGAGTTCGTGAACGTGGGTGTGCGAGCTTTGGAGTGGCGGCCTTTACAATGTCGTCTTGTGTCTGACGAGATACGTGTTAGCCCTCTCTCTCTCTCTCTCTGAATCAATCGAGCGCATTAATCTAGCCGGTCTATCGCTGATAAATCCACATGATGTCATTTGTCCCGGCCTAAAAGAACTGAAGATCCTCGTTACGTCGTGGGAACGTGCGCTCGCGTATCTCTTCACGTCGTAAGACTTATTTTAAATTCAAAGAGTTTGTGTTCCTCAATAAAATAAATAGACGAATATATATATATAGATAAATGAGACTCACCCTCGTTCGTGAGATTCTGCTCGATGGACTCGAACGTCGTAATCAGATCTGTCGTGGAGATGCGCAGGCCGCCGAACTGCCTCGTCCTCGCTTCGTCGACGACACGGTCGACCGTCGAATTTTTCCGTATCCGGCCGAGATTCTCGATCCTGTCCACGTTGCGCACGTCCGACCACAGGATCACCAGGAGTATCACGAGCAAAACAATGGCGAGGGCCGCGCCAATCGTGGCGACGCGATTCGAAATTCGCGACATCTCTGCGACTCCCGCTGGTGCACGCGCATCTATTCGTCCGTTCTAAACAGTGTTCAGCGTTTCCTTACGTTACTCAAAAGCGATCACTACTGTACCTCGCGGTATATATGTGTGTATATATATATATGTAAGGCGTAAGTATTATCGAGAGAGAAAGACCGAACCCGCATCGATCTCACCGCGGCGTCAATCGATCATCCCGAGCGCGTCATTCGACGGCGATTATCGCGGATACTCCGAAGCATTCGAGAGAGCCGACAGAGAGCCCCCGTTGTACCTTCGCGTATCCATAAAACCCTCCGCAACACGCAGGCGGAGATCTCAAGGTCCCTCTTCCTCCTCTCGAATCTTGTTTTCCTCGCGAACAACTCGCCGGCAGAATGCAACGAGGATCGGCGCAACGTCCATTAAAGAACGCGCGGAGAGATCCCGTCCCGCGTCCTAGTCTTATCTCTCTCTCTCTCTCTCTCTCTCTCTCGAAGGACCTCGACCGTACCCCGCTTGTCGTGCGCCCGTGCCCGTGCGTATCGGAGAGCTGGAGTTACACGAAGAGCGGCCGGCTGGAAGAGTGGAAACGCATCGCGCCGATCGTACGCCGCTCAGGAGCGGATATCTTGCAGCTCATTCCGTCCGGTCGTTCCTCTCCTGCTCCTTCCGTGCTTCTCGCGCTTCACACCGCCGGAAGCTTACGTCTGTTGCGCCGGCTTCGTCGCACTCCTTTTCTCGACGATCCCCCGAGAAGCATTTCCGAGTCGAGGCGACGAGAGCACCGCGTAATGGGGTCGATGATCGACGACAACGACGACGACGACGGGGACAAGGACCGAGACGATCGGAACCCTCGGTTCTCACGTGAGGCCGCGAGCTTTACGACCGGAGTTTATTCGCCGTACAATCTTCTCTCTCTCTCTCCCTCTCTCTGTCGAGCCGCTGAGCGACGCTTTTCTGAAACCAAACAAACGATTCCTCGTCAGCGTGAGATTAAATCGACGCCGCGCAACCTTGTCACGTATTTATTTTTTGTCTCTCCTTCGTGAATAAATGCTTTCTGTCAAGACGGATTCGGGAGGCGCTTTAAATCTCCACCCGCCGCCGTTCGTCGAGGCTGAGCGAAGGAAAATGTAAATATAGCTATTTACTCCCCGTCTTTCTTAGGGAGACGATATTTTGTTACGGAGGTGGGGAGAGGGGAATTGCCCAAGTTTCGGAAGGAGAAGCTCAAATCCCGCCGCGTCATCAAGGCCAGGAACGAGTGAAATATAAAAGTTGCCTCCGGGCGCGCGCGCGTGCGGCTGCCGACCTCCGGAATCTGTTAAGGTCTGGGTCAAACTATTCTCGTCGCGTATCGCATGCACCCGAGTTTCATCAATCGGTTAGACGATCGATAAATCTTTGTCTCGAAATTTCACGCAATCCGCCATCTCGCTTCTCTTCGCTCGGACGCAAGTGCTTCCACACCGGCCACTTTCTCCATCGATCGAAGACCTAATTGGCAATATTGAATATATTAATATGCGTATTTAAGTGCACAATAATACCTAATGTGATAGGATATTGCCGTTTGTTTTCGCATGACAATCTCTTAGAAGAACAAATACACCTATCGTAGATGTAAACAGGCAATTCTATCTTATCAAAAATGTTTATATTAAATACTATAGGAAAAATTTAGATGATGTAAAATCTATTTGAAATTAATTAAATGAATTAATTACAATGTGATTGGTTCTTTCCAAAATTTGATCCGCAAAAATTCGTATCTCAAAAATTGGTAACATCTCGGTACTGTTCTGAAAAAAATATATGTCTCATTAAATTGACAAATTGTGAATGAATCCTGCAAATTGACAATGTTATACCTTCGAAATTATTGTTGACGCAACGATCGGAGACAGAAGGTCTCGTTTCCGTTCAACAAAGGAGAACGAACATGCGTGTTTCGCGAAATAATTCCTCTCGCTACCTCTGTAATTAATGATTAACGACGTGGGTGAAAGGGTGGGCCTAAAATTACGTTATCGTCTCGTCTCGTCCCGAAACTCCCATCTCGGAAACAAATACTTTGATTAAAAGATTGATGATGAGCGTCACGCCGCCTTGCAATGATGCGGAATGTAAAATTAACATCGGACACTCCGTCGCGCTCCTTATCAAAGCCCCCATCGTATAAGGCTTGATTCATGCCACGCAGCCGCCGACAAAAAATGAATCGGCAACGGAGAAACAAATTGCTCGTTCATTGACGCTATCCGCTCGATGAATCTGTATCGATAGCGCGCGTCGGTAAATTTAATACTGAACACGGTGGTCGGAGGAGAGAATTTGATTTAACAATTATTGCCGCTTCGACAGGGGGAGGCTATAGAAACGTGCGGAGAAGAGGGTCGTAGGGCAAAAAATTTTTGTCGCGCCGTAACTGCACAGCAGGAAAAGTGAGAGAGATCCTCGATCCTTCGTGCAAGGAATTCGCGAAGCGGAGTTTCGAATATTTTGGAATGTCCAGCTTCGCAGTTTCTTCTATGATTTACGAGAATTCCTCGCGTTGTGCAAGGAAGTATGCAAATGCGAATCGTAAAGTGAAGTTTCGAGGTATTTTGGAGTGCCCAGCTCCGCGGTTTTCTCCTTCGTGATTTACAAGGATCCCTCGCGTTGTGCAAGGAAACGTGCGAGCGTGGCACACCACGAAGCGAGGAGTTTCGAGATACTTCGGGATATCCTGCTTCATAATTTTCCTCAGGATTTACGAGCATTCCCCGCGCTGCTCGGAGAAAATCCGCGAATGCGACTCGCGAGACGATGAAGATTATTTCGAGGCACTTCGAGGAATCCGAACTCTATATACCAGACGCAGCCGTCTCTCGTCGTGAGATCTGCGAAAAAAAAGCAGCTGTTGTTAAGTAACGAACGTAATCGCCCGGGAGAGTGCCCGGGATGGCGATCGAAAGAACCGAATGTGCCAGAGAGGTTTAATTCCCCGAGGATTAATTCGGTCGTATCTTACTTTTCGGAGCGACGCGAACGTTCGCGTTTCGAACGGCGATTAGCGGGCGCCGCTGACGCACGGGCTAGTAGAGGCCGACGATTGCCTCCGACCGCCTGTCATCGGCACGTCGATCCGTATCATCCGTAATATCGGTGACGGTTAGCCGGGCTATCTCTACGCCCATAAATCACATTGTGTAACGTTCCCGCCGGCGGCTGCGTGAATCAGGCTTAACGTCCGGCGGGTGCCCCCGCAGTCAAGACCGAGCGCGGCGAGGGGAGTGGAAACTAGATGGAAACCGGTAGTGTGCATTTTCAACTTGCGCACACATATCCACACAAGCGCATACACACACACACTTACGCACGCATACACATACAGGCCACCGCCTGATTTTAAACCCGTGTTAAATTTACACTGGCTGTACACACGATGTTACCACCTGCCTTGTCACGTACCGCTACGAGCGTTGACTCCAAATCTTGGTTTAATGCAAATAGCAGCCGCGCGCGCGGCTTACCGATAACTCCACCTTCGAAGAGGAGACGCGCCTCCCGATTTACTAAGGCCGAGGAGAGAATTAACGGGAGGGAAGGAGGCAGGGAGGGGCAATGTCGCAGGACTTACGTGATTTTTTCGGACGTCGCGATTTTACACAGAGGACCTGCCTCCTCTTCTCAGATCGGAAATTCCGCTTCCCCCGCTGTCCCTCGAGCGACAAACCGGAGGATCGAGGATCGTGAGTCCTGAGGAATTAGGACGGCTCTTTCTCGCAGGAAGGCGCACAGGATCACGCACGGGGTTTCCGCGGCTTCCCTCCGATCCGCGGGCCTCACGTCGGAGCGCGCGAACTTCGGTTAACAAGACTTGTATAGGAGCTCATCGCGCGATCCGAGGAGCGTATCGCCGGCGGACGGGCGCGGGCGCGAGCGCGCCCGCGCATACGGTCCCTATAGCCTAAAAATACAAATTTAAATATTGCGTAATGCGTGCCGTCTCGGCGTGCCGGCGCTAACTCATTTTCGCGGGCGAGACTCGCGGATGGGAGGGAAGGGGGAAGGGGGGACTGGAGGCGGATGCACCTGACGCGACACGAGACGCGCGAGATAAATCGCGCGACGCGTCGTTCCTCCCCCCCCCC